ATATAAATATATATATATATATATATATATATATATATATATTGATTGATAGATAGTTAGATAGATAGAGACATAGATGATAGATATCTATAAATATAGATACATCTAGATATGGATGGATGGATGGATGGATGGAAGTACAGACAGACGGATTTTCAAATATTTATTCGCCAAGTCCATGGAAACTCAAGAACATACCTGGTAGGTTTCCAGTGGTTTGTTCTCCATCTGGAGGTCCCACACTTTGACAGTCAGGTAGTCCCTTGTCATCAGGTAGCGTCCATTGTGGCTGAACTTCACGTCTGAGATGGATGAGATGATTTCAGAAAAGAAAGAGCGGGTGGATGGATCTTCTGGCTCCTCAAAATCTATAAGTGATGGAAACCAAGAGACAGACAAAGTCATCTTATGATTAGCAGATAATCTAATTTTGTCAAAGTGTAGGATGTCATTGGTTCAAGGAGTTTTTTTCTTTTTTTCTTAATTTTATACAAAGAAAAAAACGTGTTTTGTTTGGAGTGCAGAGTCTGTCAGTGAAGCAGACAACAATGCCTGGCTGTTGTTGCTGCAGCAGCTGCATCGTATCCCAGAATTATTCAGGAAGATAATCGCGGGTCAGCTCGCTGGGCAAATATTGGTTATGATTCATATTGAATTTGGCAGCTGCTGATCTGTGTGCAGGCCAGCACACAGGGGGATGAGAGCCAGGCATTCCATCGTTAGCTGTCAACTTAATGTTCCTCCCCTTCTTCTCCTCCCACCGCCCTCTCTAAAAAAAAGCCCCCGCCAGTCTCCCCCTCGAGCCAATCCTTCCTCAGCCGATGCCTGGAGTATCGCTCTGTGATGTGTCAGTGGGGAGTCTAACTAGGGAGGCTGCGTGAGAGATGAAAAAACTGGGGGGATGAGGAAAGGATAAGGAAAACAAATCAATGTCAAAGTGCTGGGCACACATGAGCCCCGTTGGATTTGTGTGTATTAATGCATGTGTGCGCGTCCCTGCCCTCCTACTCCAGGGGTGTATAATAGGGTCCCTAGGGAGTCAACAGGAGGGGGTTAGAGGACTCGTTTGGTCCCTTTCACTCTGTCCTTGGGGCTTTTGCCAATTCCCTCCTAAATCCTGCTTCCATCCCTCACCCATCTATCTATCCTCGCTGTAGCGCTGATTGATGCCAGCAGCCACCCGGTTTTATAGGAGCGAGGAGAGTAATTGTGAAGCTGAGTTGTGTATATACAGAGTTTATGAATTTATGTGTGTGTTACAGCAGGTGTGCATGTGCGTCAAGGAACAGATTCTATGTCTTTCTGAGCCATATAGGTTTATGCAGGGAGACAAGTATTGACATATCTATATCCTAAACACACGCCTGCTTTGTATGTGACACTGTACATTTTCATATAAAGTCTGCTCCAAATATATATTTTTTTCTTCTTTTTATAGTCGTAATCATTTGCTTATAAGAAATTCAACAGGCCGTGTTAACACGGTCCAGTGGTCGCCATCAATATGTTGGAGGAAATGACTGACATTACTGAGCAACAAGGTGTGTCCATGAGAAACTAATGCAATTGCTCTCGTGACATTGATTTTCCTGCTAAAATGTCAATGTATTCATTATTCATCCAGCCAAAGGGTGTGCATGTGATGTTAGGACTAGAGAGACGCTCGTTGTTTGAGACGCGCTGCAAGATATATCGACGGCTTATCAGTCGTGGCGCGTGAAGCAGGGATGTCGCAAATACACCGAGACAAAGTGAGGCGGGAAAAACTGAGCATGAAAGTGGAACTAGAGCATAAACTTCTACTGTTTTCACATTTCTTTTAGTTTTGATCAAATCTGTTGAAAACAGGGATTATGTGCAAATAAATCTGTAACCGTAACCATTCTGCTTCTTCTCCGCCTTCATATATGACACAGAATCTTTTATTTCTTCCCATGATGCTCTCTGCTGGTACTCACATTTGCTGTGCCTGTCGCAGAGCGCCGCCTGTCTCATGTCACAGAGGCGTATTGAGCCCTTACTGCTGCTGTAGGCGAAGGTGTGACAGTGCTGGGGGTGAAACTCCGCCGAGGTGATGACTTCCGTCAGCTCCTCCATGTTGGCTGGCTTGATGTCCACGATGTCTGAGAGACGTGTGCTAAGGAACGTCACTTTCAAAGTGGACAACATTGACCACCTACAAAAATAACACTGAGAATAATGAAGCATACAATATTTTTAACAGTAGCACTTGGGAAAAAAAAGTCAAGTTTCTGTACAAATTTAAAGTGTGGTATTTAATTTTTTTGATTTGATGCTCAAGTCCTTTTGAAGGTGCCAATGAAACTATGACATCATGTCTCTTTTATAAAGCCCAATAGCAAGTCACTGTGTAAAAACTACAAGTCATATTTTAAAAAAACTTCTAAACCCTGCAGAGAAAGGGTCTTGTGATCTTATAAGTCATTGTTTGCGTCTTTAATGTTTTATGAAGATTTGACAAACTAAATAAAATGTTCACTTCTGGTTTTGAGTAGGGATGCACCGATCCACGTTTTTTCCACTTCCGATCCGATACCGATATTTGCTGTTTAGTATCGGCTGATACCGATCCAATACAGAAAAACAGTGCTGAATTAACAAAAATGGCTAAATTATGTCATCTGGACCCATTTCTGAAACAGGTCCAGATGACATGATTTAGCCATTTTTGTTGTGTACCTGGATGTTTGAGCTTACAAACCCAGTGCTGAATTAACTTAAAACTCAATTTTGAAAATAATCTGCAGCGAGTTTGTTAGCGCATAATGTCACTCAGAGCACAAAGCACAGAATTGGAGTGAATAGATCTGCCCAGTCATGGATCGGTCACATTGTCACCGACACCCGACCCAGAAGTTTTTCGATATCGGTACCAATACCGATGTCGGATTGGTGCATCTCTAGTTTGATTGAGAAAATCATGAACTCAGATACAGTGGAGGTGAGTGAACACTCTGCACTTTGGGAAGATTTAAGAGAAAACTGTGAATTAATGTCAATGTGACATACTGGATGACATAATACAGGTAATGCCTACTCTGGGATGTATGAATTGTATATTCATCCAGTCCTTACCTGCTTTGTCCTTTCCAGGTTCCTAGAAGTCAAGTTTTATCAAGTCTCTTAACTTTCACCTTCATCTGTTGGTTTGGACTTTTGACATGTAAAAACAGGAATAAACTCTCGGGGATTGTTAGGATGTGCAGCCAAACTGCTGGCATAGCTCTACAGAACCTCACTGACCTAGACAAGGTGAGGTCAGTGAACAAGGCCAGGCTGATTCTGGCAGATCCTGATCATCCACTGGTGAGTTCAGGTTGCTTCCATCTGGATGCAGGTATCTGCTGCCCAGATGTAGGACAAACAGATTGAAAAAGTCATTCATCCCTTTAGCGATCAGGCTTCTCAACTAACAGTGATGATTTCTATACTGTTATTTTAACGTCTTAATGTCTTGTCTTGTATGGATGTTTTATGTCTCTACTGACTGTGAAACAATTTGCCCCTTGGGAATAATAAAGATTCTTGAACTTGATCTTGAATTTGTTTAAGAGGCGGGGTACACCTGGACAGGTCGCAAGTCCATCACAGAGCCTAGTCAGTATAAGAAGTGTTAAGTTTGTGGGTGTAAGAAAAGTTTGTTTGCCCAAAATGCCTTTTCAGTAAATTAAAGTTCAATTCCCAGCGATTCATTTAAATAATTAATGCTGTTTTTACTGTGAAGTATGCCAGAACTATAGAGCTCATTACAACATCATACATTTGTGAGGAAAAAATGATTTAACTGACATTTGTCTCCATCTGACCTTCTGATTGACTGGCGACCTGCCTAAGATCTACCCTGCCATTCCATTCACCAAAAAAACCTGCTGAAGACCGGCACCAGATCCCCATGACCCTGAACAGGACCAAGCAGGTCCAGAGAGTAGATAGATGAATGGATGGTTGATAGACACGCTCGAGTTTGAGAGGATACTGAAGCTGCGATCAGTGATCTCCAGGTTCCACAGGTTCACCCGGAGGTCGTCAGTGGAGATGAACGTCTGAAGGTCTGAGTTGACGGAGATGGAGTTGATGTGGTATGTGTGGGCATTGCTGAAGACACGTCTGGCTGTCGCCTCGACCATCAAATCCATCGGCTGCAGCACTGGCACCTAGGAGCAGATACAGGACATTTTAAAGGCAAAAGAGAATACCGGTACATAAAAATAAAAATTCAGTTAGTTTCATGGAGGCCGTTTCAGATTTCTACCGTTGCATGTGCAGGTAATTTGCTTCTGTGCATTTGTTTTTAATCTGAGACCATGAAGGTGGGTTAATGTGTATACTGGTGTGTATGCAAGTGTGTGTGCAAAACCCAAGCAGATGACTCCAGGGATTCATTTGAAATTACTCCACAAATTAAAAAGGAACAGCCTGCGTATCTGTTTGCTGCACAGTTGCTCAATTATCACACCTTTCTCCTCTTCCTCATCTTCCTCCTGCTCGCTCAGTTGTGTTTGGGATGGTCAGAGAAAAAAGTGGCACCAAGAAATGGCCCAAGGGCATCGCTGGGCCCTGTTGAAGAATGATAACTGAACGCTGCAGACTTAAGACAGGATCACTCACACGCTCACACCAACACACAGATTTTACAGTGCCGGGCGGGCTTCAAAGACTTCCAGTCTGCAAGCAGCCCCCCCTCGTTGGCCAGATAAAATCCAGACAAAGAGAGAAAAGAGGGGAGGGAGCCAGGAGAACAAATCGCCTGCTTCTTCTCTAATCTTTTTTTCCTTTTGTGTCCACTGCTGGCACTGACAGAAAGACATGGTGGCCCAGCAGGCTGCTGTATCTCCATGGGTGTCACTTTCTTTCCATGTCTTTCACTCACTGTCCAGAGAGACACGGGTCTTATTAACCCAGAACCCGAAACACTGACAGCCCCACTGTTCAACCTGCCCCAGCCCCCTCCCAGTAATCTAGCAATTCCTTAAAGGTTGTAAAAATGGCGTACTGAATTTTCTTCTCTTTAATAAATCCAGCTCTCTACATGAAGCAGTTTTTTCTTCCAATACATGTTTATTTTTAAGGACATTTTTAATGTTTTGCAGCTTCATTCACTCAGATATTTTCTCTTTCCCTGCCTATTCTCCCTGCAGATTTTAAAGCCACCAAACAGGATCGCTACAGTCCCAACCCATCCTGCAGGATCCACTGGTTGGCCAGACAAAAGAGGGTCAGACACGCTGAGCACAGCACCAATCTTCTATGGCAGACACACACATAAACACACACACTTGCACTCCATGTGTGTTTAAATTTAATAGGTGGTGGATTGATAACCTACTGATGTACTGATATAAATTATTTTTATCAAATGTCTGCTTGCACTCAAAAATGCATCAAATATAGGATGTGGGCAGCACTGTGGCTCAGTTGGTAGAGGTGCCGCCTCTCAATGAGAAGGTTGCCAGTCAAATCCCAGCCGGGGACCTTTCTGGGTGGAGTTTGCATGTTCTCTCTGTGCATGTGTGGGTTTTCTCTGGGTACTCCGGTTTCCTCCCACAGACCAAAAACATGCATGTTAGACTGATTGGTAACTCTAAATTGTCTCTAGGTGTGAGTGAGAGAGTGAATGGTTGTTTGTCTTGTTCGTCTCTTTGTGTCCCTGTGATGACTGGAGACCTGTCCAGGGTGTCCCATGCCAATCACACAGTGACTGCTGGACATGGGTACCAGTGACCCTGTGACCCGAAAAGGAAGAAGCATGTAAAAATAAAACCATGACACTTTATTTACAAAGCACTTAAAACAGCAACAAGCTCAACCAAAGTGCTGCACAACAAAAAACAAAACAAGCAAAGGACACAGGAAAAAATGCATGGATCCAAATAGGTAAAGATAAGAACTAATTAAGATAAGAACTAATTGATTACAGTAGCATTATAGAATACAGACAAGTTAACACCAACTCACTCAGTGTCAAAAGCCAGGGAATAAAAGTGAGTTTTTAAACGAGACTTAAAAACAGTGAGGAAGCCTGCCTAACATGCAGTGGTAACTCATTCCACAGTCTTGGACCAGTCACCTCTGAGCTTAAAACGAGTGCCTGGAACCAATAAAAGCATCTGACCTCCGAGAGCGCTGTGGGACATATGGCTGCAGCAGACCAGTGTGATAGGAGGGGGCAGAACTGTTCAGAGATTTAAAAACATACAGAAGGATTTTAAAATGAATTCGAAAGTGAACCGGGAGCCAGTGCAGGGAGGCCACAACTGGAGTAATGTGCTCGCTTTTGACCGTACCAGTTAAAAATCAGGTTGCAGCATTTTGGACCAGTTATAAACGTGCAATAGTGGTCTGACTGATTCCAAAAAAGAAGCACATTGCAGTAATCAATCCTGGATGCTATGAAGGCATGTATAACGGTCTCAAGGTTACTTTTGAACAGTATGGCCTTCAATATAGACAGTCGCCTCAATGGGGATAAAAACAAACAAACAGGATTTAACAATCATGTTTACATGACTGTTTATTTTCATGGAAGGGTCCATTATCACTCCCAGATTAGTGACTCTTTGTTTCTCTAACGGGGTTAGAGAGGAGAGGTCGATACAGTGGTTCTTGATTGTGCCATTAAGTGGAAAAAACTTGATGTTTGGATGGATGGATATAGGACGTCTCTCATTTATTACTACTAAAATTGGTCATGTGAAGTCTAAACCTAAAGTTAAACTCAAATTAAATGTTTAGCATTTCTTGAAGGAATGCATATTACCCGCAGTTTTACGCAAAGATCATTGTATGACGATAGGGACAGAGTTGTAGCCGTTTTGGTCAAACTTTGTGATTTGTTTAGTTTGTTGCCGTTTTATCAACCGAAAGGTGTTATGCAAAATAATAAGAGGTAAATATTAGCCCATGTAGCTTTATTTAAAAAAGTTACAAGTTGTTTTTGAGAGAGTTGTTTCATCAGCTTGAAAAACAATAAAAAGACCCCCGTTTGGTGAGCCATGAGCCTAGCCTCAGAGCTGGTTTGTGGTTGTATGGGGCTAAAAGGAAATTTAACTTGGGTGCCCCTTTCTTAGTTAGGCTCTTAGCCCACTTTTTTATTGTTCATAGTTTATTATCGCCTGCCACTAAACACAAAACGACAATAAAAAATTGTCTGTGTTGCTGAGTGTTCATTTTCAGTCAGAGTCAGAAATTCTTTATTGTCATTCGCACCTCATGTGGTACATGTGGTGGAGCAAAATAATGTACACAGGGTCCCAGTTACATCCAACAATAAAATGTATAAGAAAAACAGTAATAACATCTAAGATATGAACTAAGAAAAACATCAACTAAATATACACTAAGCACTAATAGCATAAAAATATTACGTCAAACATCAGCACAAACACGAACATGAGCCTGTGTGAGCAGATGAGCACGCATGAACACATCAACATGAAACAGATCAGCAGAAACATGATGTGATTTTTTTCACAGTGATTATCCTGGTTAGAGATTCATGAGTCTAACAGCCTCAGGGTAGAAGCTGTTCCTCAGTCTAGTGTTTCTGCACTTAATGCTCCTCAACCTTCTTCCTGAAGGGAGTGGGGCAAAAAGTGAGTGCTGGGTGAGTGGGTCCTTCATGATGCAGGTGGCCCTCTTCCTGCATCTAGAGGTGTAGATGTCTGTGATGGTGGGGAGGTTGACTCCAACAGTCTTCTGTGCAGCATTCACCACTCTCTGCAAAGCTTGTTTTTCTGCAGCTGTGCAGCCTCCATGCCACATGTTGATGCTGGAGCACAGGATGCTCTCCACTGCACACCTGTAGAAGGAGGTGAGGACTGAGCTTCCCAGACCAGCTCGTCTCAGCCGTCTGAGGAAGTAGAGTCTCTGATGAGCTTTCTTGATCAGGCTGGTGGTGTTGTTGCTCCAGCTGAGGTCTTCATTAATGTGTACACCCAAGTACTTGTAGCTGGAGACCACTTCCACCACAGATCCTCTTATGTTCAGGGGGGTGTAGGTGTGTTTGTTCCTTCTGAAGTCCACAATCATCTCCTTTGTCTTCTTCACATTGATGTGAAGGTTATTCTCTTTGCACCAGCTCTCCAGGTGTTCCACCTCTTGCCTGTAGCTGGACTCATCATTGTTTGTGGTGCATCCCACCACCGCTGTATCATCTGCAAACTTTACAATGTGACAGCCTGGATGGGTAGCTGCACAATCATACGTGAGCAGAGTAAACAGGAGGGGGCTCAACCCACATCCCTGAGGAGAGCCAGTGCTGAGGGTTATGGTGGAGGAGGAGAAGTTGTGGATACTCACTGACTGCATTCTGTTTATTAATAATAATAATAATAATGTCATCACAATGTCAGCACTGTATGTTTCCATACAATGGCGAAATTAGTCTCTGCATTTAACCCATCCACCACCAGGTGGTGCAGTGGGCAGCTATTGAAAGCGCCCGGGGGACATTTTGGGGATTAGACGTGCTAAGAAGTCTAGTACCCAGCTGCAAATGGAGGGGCTGTTTTGATGTGAGTCATGACCAATTTTCGAAGCATTTAGCAACTATCGGGGGTGAGGACCACTGGCCGATAGTCATTCAGACCAGTCAATGTAAAGCTTTTTTGGACTGGGATGATGGTGGCAGTCTTCAGGCAGGTGGGAACTGTCTCCAGGGTAAGTTTCCTGACGTCTTAATGAAATATATCTTAAACCACAGTGCAGATTTCAATGAAAAGTTTATTGACAACTGACTTTTTGGAAACAATCTGATTAGAGAGGGCCACAGCAACCTTAGTCAACACAAAAATGGCTGTAACTCAGTCAGTTTACAAATATTAAGCTAAGATTCGATGAGGTATTTGTTCAGAAATATTTACAACACACATGTCGAGCACTAACACAGTGCACAACACCTCACACTATGGCATGAAATTGCGCATAATATTATTTTAAAGGTTCAACCAAAGCAACTACATAACATGAGGATTTTATCGTATGAGGTGGTTTAGCTGGTGTCTTTGGGCCAATATCTTTAGCGTGCACCTGAGCTGTTCACAGCTGAGTTGGAAGCAGCTAGAATGACAGTCAGCTCCTCTAAGTCCGAGGTCATGATTCTTGACTGGAAACAGGTGGAATAACCCTGTCAGGTCGTGGGGAAGAAGTCTTTGCCTCCGATGGCTGACTTAAGTATCTGGGAGTTGAAAGGCAAAGCTCTTGATTTACTGGTCAAAATGGGCTTCCTTGGCAAGATGGCCAGGCTCAGCCTTAGAGATAGGGTGAGGAGCTCCAACATCCGAGGGGAGCCACTGCTCCTCCACATCGATAGGAGTCAGTTGAGGTGTTTCGGGCATCTGGTTAGGATGCCTCCTGGATGCCTCCCTTCAGAGGTATTCCAGGCATGTCTCGCTGGTAAAATGCCCCGAGGAAGACTCAGAACTCGCTAGAAGGATTATGAATCTTCTCTGGCCTGGGAATGCCTCGGGGTCCCCCCAGGAGGAGCTGGAGTGTTGCTGGGGAGAGGAAAGTCTGGCTTTCACTTCTGAACATGTTCCTCCGTGACCCAAATACGGATAAGTGATAGAAGATGGAGATGGAAGATGATCTTAGCCTCAATCTCTGGAAAGAGATGTGGCAGGCAATAAGCAATCCTTCAAAAAAATGCTAGGCCTTTGATTGTGCATTTAACACGTTTTATCACAGTGACAAATAATTCTACAAACTGACTACATGACATGTCTGTCCCTTTGTCTTTGTATCTTTGGTGTTATTTTCCTTTCTGATCCTTATGGTTGACTCTGTGTTTTTTGTCATTCTCCACTCATTCCTCATCCTGTCTCTCCAGTCACTAACCATTCACACCTGTCAATCAGCTACCATCCCAGGTGCTCACCCTACCTCAGCCTTATTTAAACCTCTCCTCTCCACCGCTTAAAGGTCCACTCATTGCTGTGTAAACCTACAGACGTCCTCCTCCATCTTGCCTGATCCAAGTTTTTGTCTTATGATCCGTCCCGTCCTGCTTCTGTCTCGCCTGATCATCTGTCTGCCCTGTTCCTGTTCGCACCACACCTGTACGTTTTTTGCTGCCTCATCAGCCTTTTGTTTGGTGTTTAATAAATTATTTTTATTTAAACTCCTGAGCTCCTTGCCTGCCTGCACATGGGTCTGCAAACCGAGGATCGTGTCACTGCATATAAAAACGTTTTCCTTTAAAATCACATAAAGGAGAGAACAATAATGACAGAAAAAAACTGCTAAATTATTAAATTAACCTGAAATGATTTGATAAAATATATTATTATGATGGGCAGCACGGTGGCACAACTGGTAGAGCTGCTGCCTCTCAGTGAGCAGGTCCTTGGTTCAAACCCCGTTCCAGGGGCCTTTCTGGGTGGAGTTTGCATGTTCTCTCCGTGCATGCGTGGGTTTTCTCCGGGTACTCCGGTTTCCTCCCACAGACCAAAAACATGCATGTTAGGCTGATTGGTAACTCTAAATTGTCTCTAGGTGTGAGTGAGAGAGTGAATGGTTGTTTGTCTCGTTTGTCTCTATGTGTCCCTGTGATGGACTTGCGACCCGTCCAGGGTGTACCCCGCCCCTCGCACAGTGATTGCTGGACATGGGCACCAGCGACCCCCGTGACCCAAAATGGAATAAGCGGGTAAAGATAATGGATGGATGGATGGATGGATATTATTATGAAAGACACAGGCTGCAAAAATGATCTTATTATTTTTCAGCTTGACATAAAACTTCAGTAAACCCTTTCTCACAGTTTAAAAACACTAATGAACTTCATAAAATCTTAACAACAAAAAGTATGATGTTCACTTAAGACACATTAAACCTACCAGCTGGTCAGTTGGGTGCATTTTAACTCCAAGCCAGTAAAACAACAGACTGAAATTTTCATGAATTCATTAGTTTTATGTGAATATTCAAAGTAGTACCCTCCTGCTGCTCTGGGGGCTCTAAGGAGCTGTGTGCTTAACTAATGCCCCGGCCTGCCTATGCCTGGTTGTCACTTCAAAAATTACCAGTACTAGACTATCCCTTTAAAGCTGGTATGAGATTTTATAAAGTTATGAGAAGAGCAGCAAATCAAAAAATGTGTCAGAAATGCAATACAGTAGCCCCTCGCTACTTCGCAGTTTGACTTTGGTGGACTCGTGATTGAGACAGTACTGGATACAGTACTGTACAGTAAAAAGTTAATGAAAAATAAAATATTTTGGACAGGTGCCACCATTTTGTAGTTTTCTCTCAGTAAGCCTCCACTATATTCCCACTCAGAATGACCACATATCCCAGAAGGCAACAGGGCCCTGCCCAGAAGCCCCGTTTCCTTCTGCTGAAAAAAACAGAGGCACAGTAAAATTTTGATCTGATCGGCGCCCAGCGGATATAGAGAAGCCGCGCTGAGTCCACCGAACTGGACCAAAACTGGATCAGAACCAGACCTCCAGACCCATAAGTAAATCTTGAGAGCTGGTAGCCGGTCCACGAGAACCTATATGCGCAGAAGGTCTGGAGCCATTTTATAGCCCATCGGGACTTTTATCATCAAGACTTGGACTCAATTTGACCACCTACGGTCTCACGCCGGCCAACAGAAGGTCTGCCCTCCCCCCAAATGCGCTTTGACCAGAACCGGACCTCCAGACTCAGCTGTGAACCAGAGAACTCTGGGGACGCACTTGTAAGTGAAACTTATTAGCTACATATAAGTATGCTGTTAAAATTAGTAGGTAACTTAAGAGTTTAGAGGTCTGATTTTGGGCTTTGTTGCTGCAGGGGAGTCTGCAGAAATGAACTGGGTCGGACGGAACGAGAGCTGTTGCTGTTCTGTAGAGCCTGGCAAGTAAAAATTAGTAGCTACATATACAGTACTGTACGTATGTTGAAGAGTTTATAAAGACTTAATAA